GTTACGGGCATTAGCATCACTGATGAGTGGCTTCTCGATGCAGCACGGCCAGCAATTCCCTGTTTATGAAGCTCCCTTCTAATTGTTTTTTGGTACTCACAGGGTTCGGTAACACAACATTCATTTCAGCAGTAACTTTTGCAGTTGTGGTCTTCTTATTTTTCGTCACAATTGCCCTTAATGATCGTCTGTCATGATCACTCAGGACACACTTTCGTCCGCGCTGTGATTTAGCAGATGATGTTTTCCGCTCTTCAAATATGCGGAATAAATCTTCGATACAGTACCTCTTGAAAACACTAAACACAGCTCGGCTACCTTGCTTACGGAAGCACCTACCATACGTGCTCCAACAATTTGCCCACGTTCGAAGTCTGTTAACTCTGACATAATGCAATGACAACCTCACATAACAGTACTCCGAGAACAACTGAACTGTTTAGCACATTTACGAAGTTGTATAGGTGGCGTCAGTAGTCAAAAACGCCAGCGCCACCTACATATTTCATTAAAATTAATCTTTCTTTTCAAACATGCATTTCACAAGGTGTTTCCATATTTTTGTCCATCCACTGTATATTGTTGCAAAGCAAAGACGCGATAACTTTTATAAAGAATTTGTCTTGCAAAAGACCTAAAAAATGCAGAACTCCCCCCTCTCATTTGGAAGACAGAACTTGGATACTGTTACTCAAACTATCGATAAGGATAGAAAATTTTCATTTTATAAAAGAAGAATCAAGTGTTATAGCCTAAACGCATAAAAGGATTCATTGCTTTCTCTTTCTCATGGCGAACATTTGAAAATTTTCCTCACAGCATCAGCCTTGAATTCTAACAGTTCAGTCAGAAAATGTAAACGGAATCAGGGAATCTAGCAGATTTTCCTAACAAAAAGTGTTTTCCACATTAAAAGTTTAAAAATTACATACGCTGCTGTTTCTAGCATAAAAGTTTCACAACCGATAACTTTAAATAATATCTCAAAAAATTTGGATCACATATTGAAAGGATTTAACTCAGTTCATTAAATATGGCTGAGAACAAATGTTTCTTTTCTTGAAATTCTTTTTTCGACATAATTTTTCAGTTTTGCTTGTTTTTACTAGACGGTACTGCAATACCAAAGTTTTTATTAAGTTGTTTTATATGCAAAAATTTTAAACAACCCACTAAACCATGGTTTACGATCAGTTGTACAACATACGCTAAGTCGGGAGACATTTTTGCAATAAATTTTATCGATGACGATAATAAGTTATTCAAACTAATTCAAAAGATTAAATCATTTAGAGCTGTTATCTAAGGAAATGCTATACTAATATTAAACAACCAATCAGACTAAGAAATTATATTCAAATAAGGCTTAGAATTGTGTTGTGTTTATTTTTGCTTAATGCTCTTTAATTTTGCTTAAAATTCTTATTCGGCATGTTAACTCAAGTACGAGCCTCTTTAATATTTTCATCAAGTTCCAAGAACAATTTTCCTTTGCTATACGCGATCAAAGGAAAAAAAAAACCTTTTTTCTTCACGCATATTATTATGTACCGCAGTTAAAATTAAACATAATCACATGAAAAACGAAACACAAGAAAATTTAGTTTGTTAGTTTAAACCGTAAAAAATGAATTTTAATTTTACAGCAGTCGGCATAATTTATTTTCTTTATAAAAAGCACAAATATTTATTAATATTCCTACCAGTTTGTATTCTGAAAAAAATTAAGTTCGTAGGATTCGGAATATTTAATTTTCAAAACATGCTCGCATGAGTAAATCTTTTTATCCTAAAAATGTTACTGGTTTCAATTTTTATTAGATCTTTATGTTTTATACTACAAGGATACTCGTTTTTGATAAACTTTATAAAGTATTTCTCTCACCTTCTTAACATGTTTTCGTGGTGTAATAGTCAGCACGCTCGGCACGTATTCGAGAAATTCGAGTCCCAGCGAGAGCATTGCTCCTTTTTTTTCCAATGACTCCTACTTTTAAAAACAAACAAAAAAACCCTAATGTCTCTACAGTGGCGCCCGAACTAAAAACCATGGTGGATGATGATTCTCTAACACCAGAATTTGGAGATTTCGGTCCCTTAATCCCCAGTCGCGCTTTAAAGGGGGATATATATATATATTTCTAACGCCTTATTAGCATGCCTTCATGGTGTAATGATCAGTACTCTCGGCGCGTCTTCCAGAAGTCCGAGGTTCGAATCTGACGAGAGCATTGCTCATTTTTCATGACTTAGAAAGAAAACCTAATGTCTCTACAGTGGCGTCCCAACTAAAAAAGGTGGTGGATTATTATTCTCTACCACCAGAATTTGGAGATTGGGGAAAAAGGGGATATATACATAGGTTATTTTTCCTGCCTTTTTAGCATGCCTTCGTGGTGTAATGGTCAGCACGCTTGGCGCGTATTCGAGAGGACCGATGTTAAAGTCCCGGCAACGGCATTGCTCATTTATTCACGTCTCTTGCTTCGAAATAATCTAATGGCTGTACAACTTCATGAGCTAAAACTGAAATCTGTAAGAAAGATAACAGTTGCTTATTTATTATGAATTAAAACACACCCTTCATATGTTAAACCGAAATCTAAAAGAAAGACTGCATCTGTTTGTTTTGTACCCAACTGAAACATATAAATCTTTCAAAACAACTGTAAGAAACAATCCTAATACATTATTTTACTTATATTTCGCTTCGAGTTTTTGCAGGTAGATGCTGCTAATTCATCATTATTCCTACAATAAAAGTTTAATTAATTCATTATTTCTAAAGCACGATGACTTAAATGGAACTATAAATTAAGAATGGCAACTTTTTAAAGACTGAAAAAGAAAAATTACTTTAAAACAGACTAATTTTTAAAGATAAGAAACTGAACTGTATTCTTTATTAGCTATCGTGAATATTTAATAGGTAACTGCAATGTTCGCAATTCGATGTAGTATTCATAAAATTTATTATTCTTAATAACTTAATTCTAATTAATAATCATGGTAATATAGAAATTAATAGTTATGTGTATTTAAAGAATTAACGTGTTTGTTTCAAATACATGTAAAGGGATACAGATTTATAAAGCAATTTGTTTAAATAAAAAATTTATATATCATATAAGCAAACTCACGTTTTTGAATTTCTCTTTCACTTCTCGCTAAGGAACTCACAAAAATCACTGCTTCAAAATAATAACCTTGTAGACACATTAGGTTATTTCGAAGCAGGAGACATGAAAAAATGAGCAATGCCCTCCCTGAGACTCGAACCACGGACCTCTCGAATCCGCGCCGAGCGTGCAGACCATTACACCACGAAGGCATGCTAAGAAGGCGGGAGAAATGCCTTACATACTCCCTCTTTTAAAGAGCGAATGGAGTGTTTATGGGACCTAATTGCCAAATCCTGGTGGTGAAGAATCATCATTCACCACCTTTTTAGTTCGGGCGCCACTGTAGAGACATTAGTTTATTTGGAAGCAGGAAAGATGAAAAAAGAACAATGCCTTCGCCGGGACTAGAACCACTGACCTCTCGACTTCGCTTCGGGCGTGCTGACCACGTCACCACGAAGACATGCTAAGAAAGCGAGAGAAATACCTTATAACTTAGTGCTATTCTAGACATTACATTTGCAAGCTTTTATTACTGATGAATTCTAGTGCGAGCTCGATGTTAGTGTACATCAAAGAGCTCGCTAAATTTTTTTTCTATCGTAATAATTATACTTTTCCTTTAACCAGACAGCCCACCAGCGGCCGACCGGTAAAGTCGCTGAACACTGGTAGTTCAGTCCGAGGTTCGAATCTCGAGAACAGGATGGCTGCATGGGTGTTTTCGTGATTTTCCCCATGTGTAACGTGTATACGAGCCAGTTTTCCTTAGAATGTCCTCCACGAAGGCATCCCTCCCCTTAGGCAGATAGCCTTAGTGTGCTTTGCCATAATTAAATACTCCAACACCAACACCTTTAACCAGACAAAAACAGAACAGAAAATGTAAACAAATTAGCATAATTATAACCATAACTTCATTCAAATAGCAAAAATATTTTTAAATGAATTTTAAATATGATTAAGCTCCAGGATCTAGTTCCAGATATGTACAATCGTAATATTATTTATCCTTTTTGAAAGCATAAAATTTGCTACTGCTTGATAAGTATCCGAAAAATAAAATATATTGTTGCGTGCGTACGGGTTCGTTACGAAATGAATGCACAAGTCCGATGAAAAATAAACAAAAATTTATTATTATCACAACAAAAATGCTTACATTTTCTCAAATTATCATGCAGTATTACAATATCTCACAGTAGTTATCTTTCAACTACTCAAATGTCCAATAGAACGTAATTCAAAACAGCTAAAGAACGCTAATCCGCGAATTCGCTACATCAACAAGAGCAGTTTTCTAAACAACAACAAAATAAGCAACTACTAACTACAAACTGAGATGTTTTTCCTCCTTTTATAAGATTTTAAAAATCACGGCGCTAGAATTTTTCCAGTACTTTCTCGAAATCAAAAAGAGATATTTTTTTTATTAATGCACGCGCTCTTGTATTTTCAATTTTCCGGCTTAGCTTTCTTTAATATTCGTCACGCGCGCTGCACTGCGCGAGAAATAAAACATTTAATTTATAATTCAACAACATTAGCTTTTTAAATACCAAATTCGTAACAATATATATATAACGGTTATGGTTAAAATGTGGTTATTATTATGTAACTAAAGTTTAAGCTTCTTATTAAGTATGACAATTCCAGAATTTTATATTCCGATGAACAACAACAAAAAAAAAAAAAAAAAAAGAGTTATTTTTTACGCAAAAGATTACAGTTGAAACTGAATATCATTGGATTACAACACATGTTTTCTATCTTCGCTTGATTGAAGCTTTTGTGCGCGAGACATTATCTAACAGATAACATCAAATATAACAGCTTCCGCAAAAAAAGATCGTTTGGGAGGGAAAATCGAAGAAGCTTCGTTGATTCTTCGATAAAAGTGGTGGTGTTTACAGTTACATGGCTGAGCGGGAGAAAGTCAGTGGCGAGGGTTAAGGGAGAAAGTATTTCAGTAACCGGTCAGCTTAGCTCGTTGCCAGATCAGTTCAACACGTTTGTTTCCTCGAGGCTATCTGAAATCATGCGGCTTCCGCGATCAGAGTCACTTCAGGGGGCTTTGAACTTAGACGTTCTGCCTCAAGTTCCAGTTATGGAAGAAGCCCAAAAACCTAAAAATTCTTCTTTGGCTGTGGAAGGTGAAGGATTGTGTTTTCGTTTCGGACGTCGTTCGAACAGTGAATGTATACTGAATGGGCTAAATATATCTGTGGAGAGAGGAATAATGTAAGTACTTATATATTTTACATCTCAACTCAACTCTGTTATAACGTCTTTCAAACAACCAAAATATCGCAGGTGCATATATGCGATGTAATTAAGGACGCTTTCAGTGATAATGCAGAATAAAGTCCGAGATCCTTAATCGTCAGGATTTTGGCTATTCCAGATTTAAAGCATCAGTTTAAATCTAGTAAGATGTGTAGAAATTATAGACTAAAAAATATTTTCTACGGGAACTACGTGAAATTAAAGCCGAAACTGTGATATTTTCTGGATATAAAACCTTACTTGCAAACATTTACCGTTTCGTTAATTCATTCATAGTCATCGCAATGTAAAACTCCAGCTATATTATTTTCACTTAGCATTTCTTCTCATATTCTATCAATCAGGAAATTTAATTTTTTCCTGTAATATTCGAAAATCTCCATATTCGCAACTCTAATCATCAACATGAAATTTGTTAACTGGCTATATAATATATTCAAGCAGTTTTTCAATTATCTGCAGAAGCGCTTCCCGTAATCTTTCAATGCCTCATCCGTCGAAATTACATATAGAAATATTTTACAGAATGTTTGAGTGATTTACTGCTGTTCTTTTAAAAAAACTACTTTATATTTGCATTTTAGTATGAACAAAACTCTGATATCCATGAGCTAGTTGTCAGATGTATAATTTCTAGAAAAGAGCAAAATTGAGAGACGTTAATATTTATTAAAAATATAATATTGATAGTTTGATTGATATCGATTACGATGTGATTCTCTAGCCAGCACGTGCTTGAAAATGACAAGAATCTCACTGAGTAGAGCAAAAATCGCTTTCACGGCATGCCTGCTTTTTCTGGCATTGTTATATTCTCCGTTTCTCGAGTATTATATAATTACCAAGGGGGGGAGTCTCTTTTTTTTTTTTTTTTTTTTTTTGTCTTTTGCTATTGGTGCTGAGGTGTTGATGCTAATTCATTCCGGAATTGGGCGTGCTAGTTACTGTAATTATTGTACGAAATCATTTACTTAGGAGGGTTTTTTTTTCACATCTGCAGTATAGCATGTAGATTAATTACTAGAATTGAACTTTCCATCGTTATATTCGTATGTGATTTTTATCACAAGTGAATTTAATATTATTAAAAGTAAATTACTAAATTTTACCATATGTAAAATCCGTCGCCCTTATCAGTTAATTGCTGTATAGAATTGAGATGACTCAGTGTATACATTTTTTTTAACACGATTATCCAAACTAAGAATGTAGTAAAAGAATCTCATATGTGCTGGTGTGTATAGATGAGAATTTTTACTCACTTTTTATTATGCTTTGATAAATATGTTTATTTATTAATTCTGGGGATCATTTTCCCGAATTCTGCTGGTAAGTTTAGAGAATATTAAGAAACAAATTGTTGCTATTCTTCCGTTTTTCACCAAAAAAAGAAATAAAAAAATGGTAATGACTCTTGACTGAAAATTTTAATCATATTCCACCAGAATAGCAAAATAAGTAGAAGTAAATAAACCCATATAAATAAATTCAAAGAGTTTTTTAATATTTCTTTTACATCTTCATCATAAGTTGGAGCCAGACAGATTTCAAATTATAACGTGTTTCTGAGCTGACAAATGAACAATTTAACAGGGTCAAATGACTTCATAATATACAAGTCTCTTCTGATTTACGAATCCTTCATCAATAGGGTTAGGGTTACTCAATTATGGGAAAGCACGCGAGGGCTATCTGCCTAAAGGGAGGGATGCCTTTGTAGAGGACTTTCTAAGGAAAACTGGCTCGTATACACGTTACACACGGGGAAAACCACGAAAATGCCCATGCAACCAGCCCGTTCGCGGGATTGGAACCTCGGACCGAACTACCAGTGTTCAGCGACTTTACCGCTCGGCCGCTGGTGAGCCCCTTCGTTAATAATCTTGTTTTGGATTTACTTAGTTTTCTGGAATGGTATATTCACTTCATATTTTAATCTTATGTTATTATTTTTGGACGAATATTATTTAAATTTTTTACTGCTTCGAAAACTTTTTGCATTTCAACTAAATTACAGTAGCTTTCAGCGCGTGGTTTAGTTACCGATTTTTTTACGAAGTACTTTACTTGATAATTTCTTTTCTTTACACGTACTCATACACACACACATTCGTGTGCAAAATGAAGAGAATTAGCAAATTATGTCTATATTTACGAAAAATATTGAACCAGAAGTACTAATTATACCACCGAAGAATAATGCATATAATCAATCCAGGTGTCGAGTACGTAACCGTCCGTACACATGTGTGTCTGCGGAGTTGTATTTGTGGAGGGAATATAAGCGAACGAAGAGTATTCGGTGATTTGTGTGCTCCTACTCCTTCCCGACATTCGCAGTGTGCCTCGCAAGAGTTAAGTGAATTTGTAAGGTGTCAGATAAAATTAGAACAACGAGAGTATGGATAACGGAATGAGATGAAGAATTGTCCGTGGACTGGAGGCAAGACATGACTGCAGTACAAAATGTAACGCGTAATATCACCTGCAATTTGTGGAAACACTTTCAGTATCTATATCGAGAACACCTGAACTATGTAGAGAAGACCCCTATCGAGAAGACCTGGACATGGACGACCAGAATCACAACAACGAATGAAGATCGTTATTTGGCACTTTCATTGTGGCGACACAGGACTTGCTGTAGCTTCACAGCAGGGCCGGATTTAGACTTGGTAAAGTCCTAAGCTGTTTGAGATATTTAGCCTTTTTATAAGTCCAGATATTATAGGGCAGTGCCAAATATGATTTTCGGATACCTAGAGAGTTTTTCCTTTGGGGGACAAGAAGCTGAAGCCCTAAGCTATAGCTTGAATAGCTTATACGTAAATCCTGCACTGTTGACAGCTCTTATGTGAGATGTATGCTGCCACTGGAACCCGAGTTTTATGGTCTACACTTGCATGAATCCTTTATGAGATAGAGCTGTATGCCAGGGCACTCGCTTTTTGCATCCTGCTCATCGCGTTCAAGAGAACACGTTCAGCATGGTGCAAATAACATGCGCCTCAGACCATGCCTTCACCATGCTTTTTACCGATGAGTCTGGATTCGACATGGACACTGATTCTCGACGTACCTGTGTCTGGAGAGACCCTTGGAGCACGATATCATCCCTCCGTAATCAAGGAAAACGATCATTAAAGTGGGTACGGGGAATAGTTTGGGTAGAAATTATGTTGGACGGCCGCACACCCTTGCATGTGTTTAACAGAAGATCCTTGACTGCTATGAAGTTCAGAGAGGAGATTTTATAGCCTTATGTTCGAATTTTCTGCAGTTGGTCCCATGTTCCTGTTAATGGACGACAACGATATTCAACGTACGACTCAGCTGGTCGATGATTACCTGGAAAGTGTGGATATTCGCAGCATAGATTGGCCTGCCAAATCTCCTGACAAAACCTAGCGAGGATATCTGATCTTGGAAGGGCAATTTTGTGTCGCCATTCCCCTTCGAAAATCATCCCGATTTTAAAAACTGCCTTGCTGCAAAAGTGGATCGACTGCCAAGGGAACTCCTCAACTGCCTCCTTTCCAGTATGTCGTCAAGCTGCAAGACCCGTGTGGTTCTGAAAGAGAACACACCATATTAAACTAATTTTCAGTTCGATACCACAACACGGATTTTGGACATTCCTGCACTACGAGCTTTACTATTGAGGCGTAAAGTAAAGAACCTTTGAATGGTTACATCACTTTTTCTGTTATAAATGTATATTCATACTAAATTTCATTAAAATCTGTCAATTAGGTTTTCAGAAATTGGGCGCAAAGTGCAAATTCTCTTAATTTTACACATGAGTGTCTGTATATAAACTCTTTAACATAAAAAGCGACGCTCCAATAAGGAATTATTCGAATGCACGAAAATCGGTAGATGTGATGAAAATGAAACGCTAGCAGTGTCATATTAAATGAATGCTTTATTCAGAAATCATAACTGCAAGAACAAACAAACACAAAAAAAAAAAGCAATAATTAGTTGTCCCACCTCTGGCCCTCATCCAAGCTGTTATCCGGTTGGGCATTGACTCGTAGTATTGGTGTATGTCTTCTTGCGATTTTGCTAGAGAAGTGTTGGAGAATAACGAAGACATAACGATGCGCCGTGCTCGGCTAGGAATAATCATATTGAAAGTCAGCGCAGGGGTTAGTGAAGGGCAACACTATGATGCGTAGAATATCATCGATGTACCGCCGTGCTGTAATGATGTCATTTATGACAACCAAAGGGTTTCGGTTATTAAATGAAATGACACCCCATACCATAACTCCTGGTTGTCAAGCTGTGTGGCGGATGACAATCAGGTTACTGTCCAACCGCTCTCCTGGATATCTCCGTCTTCGCTAATCATCGAGGCTCAATTCGAAGAGAAACTCATCACTGAAAACAATTCTACTCCTCTGAGAGCTTCTACGTCGAATGTGCTCGGCACCGCTACTAACTTACCTGCTGGTGAGCAATGGTGAATTGTAGTGCCGCAATGGCCTCTGTGACTTCCCCGTTTCCTGAGTCGTCAATTAGTAGTCACTATAATCGCTGGTATCCCAGTTACACGTCGGATCTCTGATAAGGAAGCATCAGGGGCTGTGAGCGCCGATTGGATGATCACACTGTCCTCGCTTTCTGTCGTTGATCTCTGGCGACCGCTAACTTCTTGACGCTCTGTACGGTCATTGTTCTCCCATTCTTGCCGACATCGTCGAATGGTAGCAGCGCTCCGACAAATGTCAAACCACCCCGCTATTTGACCACCCTGCTTTCTTTAGTCCGGTTGCTGGTATTCTTTCAAATGTTGACATCTGCTCATGCTGTTCGAGCACCCATCGGAGAAACACTGGTTCGCATGGGTCAGAGGAGCCAGAGTCACGTGGAAGTTATGCCTTACTTTTACAATGTCTTTTCTTTTGTTTTAGTTTTAATTAACTCCCTATGATTGCGGATCCCTGTGA